CGTTATGCACATTTTCATGATGAAAAATGAGTGCCCTTTAATATATATATTTTAAAGTTTAGGAAGCAAAAAGAAGCGAGAAAGAGCCAAAGAGGACTGTAAGGTGAATGCCCATTGATTTCCCACCGAAACGCTTGCAAAGTTGCCCTGTATGAGGAGAGGGATGTAGTGGTGAAGGACTCTGGGGAAGCTTTCCCAGGCATTTTTTTCCTAAAGTGTTGACTAACTCTCTCAGAACACGCTCGTGATAAGCACATCTCATCGTTCTTTGGTTTTGATAGAGCCAACTAGCAAAATGTCCTGAGCACACACCCCTACCCTCCCAATTTTGCCATGACCTTTACTCTTGACCCATCTGCTTTTGCTCTGATTGGACCCCTCCACCTCTTTGTAGCCATTGCTTCAAGTGTGCTTTGTCTTCAGGACTATACTGGGAAAGCCACATTTCATCTCCTGCCATAGTTATTCTGAGAAGTGCTTCAGGATCTTCATCCCCCCTGTTTAAAATCTCCATTGGAAGCTCTGCTCTTGTCTGCAGCTGATCTGAGCACACCCATTTTGACACCCATTGAGCAGAGAGTTTGCTCAACATAAAATTTTACCTCAGAATTGTGTAAGCTGCATAATTGAGATAGCTATAATGTTAGCTACTCTGTCTGCTGTTAATCATCACTCTTCTTCCACTAGGGCATACACGAGATGGCTCGTCTTGCAGATTGATGTGCGTGGTCTGTGGCTGCAGGCTTCACCTGCAACATTGCCTCATCCCTCCTTGAAATGCTTCATCCATCCAGAAGCTGCTGATTTCTTTGGGAGCGTTGTCTCCTAAACCTTTTCGTAAAGCATCAGTGATTAGATTACACTGTCTTTCTACCCTAGCTTCACCATAAATTTCATATTTGGTTTTGCTTCAATTTGAGTAGAATTCATGTAACTCTGATAAGGACTCTTCAAATTGTATTTTATCCTTCTTAATGCTTCAAACTAGATCCTGTTCAGACATGTTATAAATGACTCATATGAGATTATTCTGGTGCAAAAAGCAAATGGAAAGTCACATATAGTTTTTCTTTTTTCCATAATCCATATTTTCCATGGACCTTTTGGAGACCGTCATATAACGAAAACTTCCTCTACAACTCCCCAGCCCAGCAGTCACCAACTCATAGCCAACATTCCTCAGCTTCTCCTGTGTGCATTTTCCTCCACGCTTGGCCTATTTTAAATCTACTTTGTTGTATAATTTCATCTGTAGATATTCCAGATTTGTTTAAAAAGCAAGGACTCGCTTAAACCTACACACAATGCCATCACCAATCATTCCAAATTAATACAAATTCCCTTAATGTCATCAGGTCTCCAGTCGATGTTCCTGGTCTAGGGCACTGTTGCTTTTGAAATCTCCCAGGTGGTTCGAGTGTGTAGGCGGGCTTGGTGTCACTGCCTCACGCGGTACTTCAGATGCTGCATTTCAGAAGCAGCTCTGGGGCCCTGAGGGAATGGGAGATTTGCAGGTAGAGGACCTCGAGGACTCAGGTGATCCTAATCATGCCCTGTTCATTTTATCCTCTCTGTGTAGTGCCACCTGTGTGACAAGACGTTTATGAATGCCACCTTTCTCCGGGGCCACATGCAGCGCAGGCATACAGCCATGGCAGAAGGTGGTGAGTGCAGGCGGCAGCCTGGGCCCTCCTGGGACTGTGCAAGTGCTGCGGCTGGTGTTCAGTGGGTGGGACATCTACCAACAAGCCTGTCTTCAGAGCCCCGTCATCCAGTGGAGGATGTGCCGCCTGCCCATGGGATTGGGCAGTTTCTGAGCTTCGGTGTTGGGGAGAAGTGCTGGTTGTCAGACAGGTGTTTTCCTGTCTGTATTGACGAGTTACTTCTCCCTCTACCTCTGAGTAGGGGCAGTCAGACCAAGTGACTCTGATGGACCCAAGCTTCCCAGCCTTATGGAATCGGCCCTTCCCTGGCGCTCAACTACCAGCTGCCGTTGAGTTGACTTTGACCCCTAGTGACCTCCTGTGTGTCACTTTGAAGCCCATGGAGTTTCAAAGGCTAATTTTTTGTGTGTGTGTGAAGCAGAGCCGAAGGCCTTTCTTCTGAGGTACCTCAGGTGGACTTGAACTGCCAGTCTTCCAGTTAGCCGTCCAATGAGTCAACCATTTGCATCATATAGGAACTCCATGCGAATGGCAAATGAGCTTCAATGGGGCAAATGAATGCTGGGCTGCTTCATTGACATTTGTATTCAACATCAATTTATCGTGACACGAAGGAGACCCCAGCCACTACTCGCGTGCTCGGTGGTTGGTGGCAACCCTGAGTGAGAAAGAGCGGGCACTCTGCTCCTGGGAGGGTCCAGCCGAGGACAGTTCTGCTGGTCTGGGCTGCGGTGAGCTGGACCAGCCTTGGTTGCACACAGTAGTCTCAGTCATGACGCTTGCAACCCCCAAATGACTAGCAACACTGTATGTGTTCCCCACGAAGACATCCACATGCCTTACCTGTTTTATGGGGTGCAGCAAGAGCTAGCTATTAAAATGTATAAAGCTAAAAATCCTGTTAAGTAAAACTGTTCTTCTTTTTCCATCTTTTCAACTCCCTTTCCAAAGAACAGGCTTAGAGTTTCAAAACAGTGCCATTTACCCAATTACCAGGCATTTGTTGTGTATCCAGCATTTCTTAGTGCCGCATTAAAGGTTGCTAAAAGACACCAGATTTCCTATTTCTTCAATAAATTTGAACTGCTTATTGCCAAACAGTCCAGCCTGAGAAAGACCGTGTCTCTTTGTAAAGAAAAGTCTGGGCGTTTTAATATAGTACTACCTATCTAATAATCACTAAGAGTATCTGAAGAAGTACCGTATATACTCGTGTAGAAGCCGAGTTTTTCCAGCACATTTTTAATGCAGTTTTTGTGGTAAAATTAGGTGCCTCGGCTGATATTCAGGTGGGCTTATACTCAAGTATATACGGTAATACATGTTTAAGTACAATAGTTGTCTTTCTTGCTAATCCTTAGCCTTTGCTTTACCATGAGGTGGTTTAGTTAGCATGTCCATTTATAATAATTCATTCTGAATCTATTTTGTTAACTTCACAATTGTAGCGTATAAACCTGAGGCCACTGTGGTTCAAATGTCTTCACAACCCATGCTGCCTTTTTAATTTGAAATTAAAAACGATACATTTAGAATTATATTCTGTCTACATCTTATTTATAAAGGTGTTTTCCTCAGGTGTATGTTTGTGGAAACTTGGTAGATTATGTTTGAAATGGGTCCATGGGGGGGGTAGGAGTTGTTTTAAATATCAGTCTATATTGTGGTGAGTGTAGCAATATCCTTGGAAGGAGACATCATGCTTGGTAAAGTAGAGGGGCAGCAAAAGAGAGGGGGGACCCTGGATGAAATGGGTTCCCCAGTGGCTGCGGCAAAGGGCTCTGACGTAAGGGTGCCTGTGGGGCTGGGCAGGACCGCAGGGCTTCCTCCGGTTGTACGCCACAGGGTTGCGATGAGTCGGAACTGACACTGAGGCTCCTCGTAGCAACAGCATATAGGTAGCAAAACACTTGTTAGTTCAACCCTCTTAGTTCCCGTGCAGTTCACTTACATTCATCTGGCCATGCTCTCCAACATTACCATTAACCAAAGATCGAGCTATACTACTGATAAAAGTGAACTTAAAACTACAGCGATTTTTAATACTTTACAGTCCTCTCTGGTTGCTGTCAGAGGACAGAGATATGTTCTTTGCACATATACTGTGTGCAAAATTGTGTATACACGCTCATTGGTTTTCTGCTTCTATAACTCTAGCCATCTGTCATTCATATTTCCATGGGTCAGTCCTGCTAAAATATGTATTGTCAGTGTTAGTTGCCCATCAAGTTGATTCCAATTCTGGCCATCCCATGTGGGCAGAGTTGAACCGTGCCCCCGAGGGCTATCAAGCCTGTCACCTTTTGGCTATGGATTGCCAGGCCTATCTTTGGAGGCACCTCAGGATGAACTCTGTCAGTGATGGTTCACATGTATTGAGCTGCCATGGTAGGCACTGTGCTACACGCTCTGCTTATTACCACATTCCACCCTCACCACAGTCCTCAGAGGGTGATGCCACTATTATCATCCCATTTTGCAGTCTGGGAAATCTGAGGGTCAGAGAGGTTATGCAATCTGCCTAAGGTACCTACTGAGTGGCAGCGTTGTTCTCAGCTGGAGATGGGGCTGGTGATAGAGGCTAGGAACTGTATGTACTCCATCGCCAGCTTGATCTAACCGGATCATCCTCCTTGCATGGACCTCACAGGAAAACAGAAGAAGCAGGACCAGCCAGTGGAGGAGGTCCTGGAAGAGCTCCGAGCCAAGCTCAAGTGGACCCAAGAGGAGCTGGAAGCCCAGAGGGAGACTGAGCGGCAGCGGCAGCTCCAGGTGGGTGTGGAGAGGAAACTGGGGAGACTCAGGTCCTGGACTGCGGATGAGACTTTACTGCCTGTACTGACTTTCCTAGAGCTTGGAATCAGAGCTAGAATGGTGACTTTTCACACCTGGCAAATGTACAATTCACTCTTTATGGACCAAGACTGGGTCTGATTCTAAAAGCTCCAGAACCCAGTCCAGATAAATATTTGTAGAATGAAAATGTTTAAATGTGTCTAATTCACTCCTCCAGTATTCATTCACTCAGCATACATTCATTGAGTACCAATGTGGCAGGCATTGTGAGGGAAATAAAGAGAGAAGACCTGATCCCTGTCATGAAGGGTGTAATTCAGATGAGACTGTGGCTGAAACTAGCATCCTCTAAGTTCGAACAACAAGGACTGTGGGACAAGCGCTCTGTGGGTCTCTATCATGACCTGCATGCACAAGGGACCCCGCATCCTGAGTCCCATGGACAAGGGACCATGGCATGGTCTCTGTGCCGTAGAATGAATTCCATTGTGCTGACTTCTCTTTGTAGGAAGCAGAGATCATCCGTCAGAGGGAAATAGAAGCTAAGAAAGAATTTGATGAATGGAAAGAAAAAGAAAGGACCAAGCTTTATGGGGAAATCGACAAGCTAAAGAAATTATTTTGGGATGAATTTAAAAGTGTTGCCCACCAGAACTCTACGCTCGAAGAGGTACCCTACTTAAAGACTTTTCAAAGTACTTTTGTTGAAAATCTGCTCATTTGTTCTCAAATCCATTTCCTAGTGTACAAGTGTTATTTCATCTGCTATTGGGGACTGTGAGGCCCCGGTCTAAAGGCCAGGGTCTGGGTGTGAATCCTTATTCCATCACATATGCTGTGTTGTCTTGGGCAAGTTACATAACCTCTCTGTGCCTTGGTATCTTTTTTGTAAGGTTGCAGAAGGGTTAAGTTAACACATATACAGCACTTAAAGCAGTGTCTGGTGTATAGCAAGAATTCTAGATACTATCCTTATTTTTGCAAAATTTTTTTCTTTCTGAAACAACAAGAAATGAGAAAAAATTTACATGGGTGCATTTTTCTCACAGTAATGTTTGCTGAGAACTTGATGTGACCAGGCACTGCTGGGCTCTGTGGGGGTCACACATAATAGCTTTTACTTATGGCCTTTAGTGTTTTACAGCCCACAGGTAGAGTGGTTAACAACTGCTAACATGTAATCTTCAAACAACCATGATAATCTCATGGTAGGCACATCGTTAGTCTATTGATTGAAAAACAAAACAGAAGAAAACAAGCACCCCAACAAAGGACGACCCACCTGTTATCTGTCCTCTTTTACGAGTAAGGAAGTTGAAGCCAGGTAACTTTCTCAAGGGTGTAGAGCTAGTAAGAGGTGGAACTGGGGTTTGAACCTAGGTCTTCAAACTCCAACACCCTTATGCTGCTAATGGATGGACATCAAGTTGAATCAGGAAAACCTTATCAAAGTGATCCTTGGACCCTATCTTTCTATACGAGCCTGCATATGTCCGGAATGGGTATCGATTGTTACAATATGGGGCATGCCCTCCACCCAGATTGTCACCTGTCATCCTGGAGTCCAGCAAAATTGTGTCCCCTGGCATGGTGTTAGCTGAGCCGACGTCTGAGAAATAGATATTAATTTAAATTTGAAATTAATTTAAGTTTGAAATATTAATTTAAATTTGAAATAGAATTAATTTGAATTTGAAATTTGAAATAAAAATGAAATTGCCTCATCCAAGGGTCAAAGGGTTAGAAAATCCGGAGTTTTAATAAATAAGGTGATAATTCTTATCACCCTTAGTTTCCTTTTTAACGTGGGTCGCATTCTCCTAGACTGCACATGTATTTTCTCTTCCCCCTGTAGGGTTTACAGAGGAGCCCTGGTAGCCTTGTGCTTAAGCACTCAGCTTAGATGTTACTGGGTTGCACACCAGCTGCTTGGTGGGGGAAGAAGAGGCAGTCCGCTGCTGTTCAGATTCCAGCCTAGGGAACCCCCAGAGGCAGTTCTACTCGGGCCTGTGAGGCTGTTTGGAGTCAGCATGGACTGGACAGCAGTGGCTTTGGGGCTTATAGGATTATCTTACCTTGTTTTCACATTCAAGCCTGTCTCGTCTCACTAACATGTCACTTGTTTACGTTTCTTGAAGTAAAGGAATCAGACTGGCTGTGGAGCGTTGAGTCTTGTTAGGTAGTTATTTTGCCAATTTCTGTTTTAAGGCTTTTTTGGGAAAAACCATGCCAGATTCCACTTGGAGTGGTTGTGAGAAACGTTGTAAGATAGTTCGTTTTGAAAACACAGGAAGAAAACCCTGCTTGATGTCCGGAAGACTGCGGAGTCTGGTTCTTTCCTCCCTGTTTGAGGCTGACAGGGAAATGGCGGTGCTGCCAGGCAAGCAGAATTTCAGTGAAGGCAAAATTACCCACAAGATCTGTTTGTCCCTGGGAACCTGCTCCTCCCCTGTAAGGGTGTCCCCCCTATGGAGAACTCTAAAAAGCAGTATTTGTCTTCAAATCGATCCAGACTCAGGGGGCACCCCATGTGTCAGAGTAGAACTGGGATTCATAGGACTTTGAGGAACTGCTTTTTCAGAAGTAGATCCTTCGGTGCCTCAGAGTAGACTGTAGGCTCTAACTCTTGGCTGGCAGTCTAATGCCTTAACTACTTTTAGGCTACAGGAACTCTTCTGAAAGAGAGTACGGATTTTTGTAGCTATTGGAACCCTGGCTATTTAGTGGCCTGTGTGTTGGGCTGTGTGTTAGTCTGGGTACTTTAGAGAAACAAATTCACAGAAACTCATGTATAAGAGAGTTTTATATAAAGGTCAAGTGCACATCAAGAAAATATTCCAACCCTGTGCTGCCCAAACCCACAAGTCCAACATTAACCCATATGTCCAACACCATTCCACAAAATCCTCCTCTGTTTCACAAACACACACTATGATGCTGACTGCAGGAGGAAAGCCGAATCAGTGAACGTGTAAGCATCTCATCACTGGCAAGGGTCCCCAAACATCTGTTCCAGCACCCAGGGCCGCATCGGGGTAGGTCCATGTGCCTTCTCCTTGGGGATGTCTTGCAGGAAGTGAGCCTTG